GGGGGGGGGGGGGGGGTGTCTCTGTGCTGCTTAAAGGGATTGTTCAGAGCTTTTGAAGGGGCTTCCGTGGAAGGATATGAACAATGAATATCTTACCTGTTCTGGATAGCTTTTTGAAGGTTTGGTGCAACTGAGTTTATGAGTCGACTGATGAGCTAACAGGTAATCAGAGTGGAGCCAAGACAACAGTGGACTGACGTCATATTAAAATATCATTAAACCTACAAACTGCATGGTGGTTCATGTGAACGCTAACTTTCGTCTCGTTCACATTTTTGCCTCACACAGTCATGGGTGCCGAGATAGTGTGGAGGCAGGGCAGCCGACTTGGGACACGAAAATCCCAAGTTCAGTCCCCGGTCATTGCACATCTTGTGGTGTCTCTGAGCAGCACACCCTATCCCCAAAAATGCTCCCCTGACGCTTCAATAGCGGCACACTGCTCCACCTGGTGGTGGATGGGTTAAATGCAGAGATCCAATTTCACCATTATATGGGAACATACAATATTTTGACATAATAACGTGTTCATTATTATTATTATAGTTAAATGGCAGCATGGGTGTCTGATTGTGTAAAAATAAAAAAAATTGTGGGGTGGGGGGTGGGGGCAAAATCAGGAATGAAAAAAATCTTATTAGCACTAGTCTGTGTTTGAAGCCTGTACAGATTTGACCTTTTATAGTTTTGTTATTTAAAAAAAAAGTGGTCAAATGTTGATATTAAAGCAGAAGTAGATATTTATAAAGCTTTCACTTTTAGGATATATTTAGTCTAATAGTAGATTTTAGATTTCTGTTCAGCTCAAAAACTCTGACACCTGCATTTTATTAACTCATATATAAGAGCAGCATAAAATGACTTATATTCAGTTGAATATAGGCTGAATATTGTCATATATTCATATGAATATATGCAGCTGAAAAGGTAAAGGTTATGTGAATGCCCACTCTTGTCACATATTAGTTGTACTTTTCATAAAAAGAATATTTATAACAATAATCAAAATAGACTCATTTAAATGCTCATATTAAAAAAGAACACAAACAAGAAAAGCAGCACATCAGACCGAGGCTCAGATTTTCTTAATCTTACCAAACTTCTCCTTTTCATTCTCACAGATTTGAATTTAATGATATTTAGTTTAAAATATATATAATTTAACTTATGTTATCACAAAACTGATTAGCAACTTTGTAAAAAAAATAGAGAGGAATCTGAGCTATTAACGCAACTGTGCATGCTTTGTTTCTTTTTCTTTTGTTACCCAACTCCCTGAACTGTTGGATCCCTGCAGCAAAGAAAACTGGAGGAGGTAAGGTGCTACCGCATTATAAACACTGACACTGGATTCAAATAAAAACAGCCAAAACTGACCCACAAACTGAACAAAAGGGTGAAAATGTATATTTGATTCGTTAATCTCTCTGCTGTAACAGTTTAAGGAGCATAAAGTGAGGGAGTACGCTGATTCTGACTCTGACAATGAGGAGTACAAAGAGGAAAATCGAGGCCTCCTCCTCCGACAGGTAACGAGATGCTGTCACTCTTTGCCTGCAGAGATTATACATACAAGATCCATTAAAAATGAGTTTATATAAAACTCTTCACAACTCATTAATGTGTTTTTCTTGTCCTGTCTGCAGAATTTATCTGTCGTTCTTGCGAGGTTCATAAAAACAGGAGTCAAGCGTCACCTGTTGAGAGTATCTCTGCGCTCCCTGAGGATCCTGAGCAGAGACAAAAAGATCCTGGGCCACTTGGTGACTGACAGCACTCTCCTGACGTTGGCCAAACTAGCCGGGTTGACCACCAGTGATGCTGGCAGCGAAGCCACTGACCCAGACTTTGATTTCTATGATGACGTCATTGCTTCGCTTGCAAAGGCCAAAGTGCTGCAGAGTCTCAGAGCAGAGGATGAGGGTGAAGCCAACGTCGCTGAACAAAATGAGGAGTGTCCTCTTGTTGATGAGGATTTAAAAAGTGGCACGAGCATCGTCAACTGTGGAGACAGCATCCATGAAATGCACAGAGGTGGGACCCATCAGAAGGTGCTGGAGCGAGGGAGGAAGGACCGCAGGGAGAGCAAGATGGACGGAGAGGAAGAGGAGGATGAGGAAGGGGAGTTAGGAGAAGAGGCACTGAGGAAAGAGGCCATGAAGGTGTTGTGTAATGTGGTGTACAACAGCAGCTGGGCGCAGGAGAGGTTCAGCTCACTCAGGTGGGTCAACTCACAAAAACACAGAGTTTCATAAATTCCCAGTTCACCCTTTTATCTTTTCTTCTGTCAGACTTCTGAGTGGACTCATCCAGCTTCTCTCCTCCGGTGTCAGCTGTTCGCCTCCTTCCAGTGTTCAATTTTACGAGCTTCGCCTCATGTTCCTCATCACCGCACTGCGTCCGGAGCTCAGCGCTCAGCTTCGGCAGGTAGCATAGCACCCTCCGCACCCCCACTTCCTAAAGCCTTGACAGGTGGCCACTGTGAGACATTTTCCAGATCACTGTTGAGTTTTGTTTTTTTTTGCTTCAACCCTCCAGGAGGGAGGGGTGCCCATCCTCACCGCCATCTTGGAGAGCAGCCTGGATGTTCAGTGGAAGGAGCAGTACGAATGTGTGCTGGACCTCGCCGCACCCCCCGTCTCTCTGGAAGCCTCTCAACGCATCACAGAGATCCTCAAAATCCTCTTCACTATCACTTACAGCACCCACAAGCAGGAGCCGAGTGAAGTTAGTCAATATGAGAATATAATGATAAATCCATCAGTCTTCAAGAATTGTAGAAAAGCAAGAGAAATGTTCAGAGGATAATATTTCACTGCAAAAACAACACTACAGTAATTTACGGCGTATAAGTCGCTCCAGAGTATGAGTCGCATAAATCAAAAAAAGCATCTGAAGAGGAAAAATACATATTTAAGTCGCTTCGGCGTATAAGTCGCATTTATTTTGCGTCACCACTAGGCCTGCCGTATAAACAATAAATCAATTAATTGCATGATGAATGAAAATTATCAACCTCATTTTTACTTACCGGCTTTATCGTTTCTTCGTGTCTCTCTTTCTACTGAAGACACGGCTCAACTCCGGTGCTCTTCACTGACCCCTCCCTTTCTCTTTTCTCTTTAAAATCTGTTTTCCAGAATCGCGTTTTTGGATCGTTAAAAGCAGTTAAGCTACGAGCTAAGCTAACAGGCCGATCTAAGGGGAAAAAAAAAACCTGTTTTGTCGAAGCTCCAAAATTCACGGTTGAAACCCGTGCCTTCATGTAGAAAGTTGTTTTTCTCTGCAAAAAGAAGCGAATAATTTTTTTTTTGATTTTTTTTTTTTTTATAAAATCTTTGTGCGAAAAATGCTATGCTAAAGAGCTCAAATCACCGAGCATCCACCATGTCACTATGTTAGCCCATGTCAGGGGCCCCTCCCTCTCATTTTTCTTAAAGAGACAGCTGCTCAACAATCCATCCTTTGGTTCAAACAGTCTTATACTGCCATCAGGTGGTCACAAAAGGTACTACACACCAAACAAAGCAACATTTCTTCTTAATTATTGTTAAATTTCAAACAATATTATCATTTATCGCAATAATTTTTGAAACAATTAATCGCCCAACTTGTTATCGTGACAGGCCTAGTCATCGCTGACCCGTCACGTTTATTATGCGTCACCACTGACCCCTGGGAAACATGGGCCTGTGTCGTGCCAAAAATCGATTGAATGCCAAAAATCAATTGGTGGCCACGGGAGTGCGCACGGGAGGGCTTGCAGTTGCAGTTCTTAGAAATTTAACAAGATTATCACTTTAAAAAATTGTTTGTTTGCTCAACATTATAGCAAAGGTGTCTCTCAGTTTAACTTTTTCTTAATAAATTCACTTTAATGGTCAATGTTTGGAGGGGGGTCAGTGGGGGTAGCAGTACAAGAACAACATATACTGTATGCCTAGAGGGCCCTCTTGCACCTCTAGCGGCTGCAAAAGGTAATATTTACTCTGGTTTATGTATGATTGAACATTTAAAGCGTCAGTCAAAAATTGCGTTATTAAAATGGAAAAACATATATAAGTTAGTTTGGCGTATAAGTTGCAAGACTGGCAAATCTATGCAAAAAACTGTGACTTATATGCCGGAAAATATGGTATTTGAAATAAACTAAATATTCCTAAACGTAACCAATTTTTTTTTATTTTGAGTTTAAAAAAATCTGCCAATGGTTGTAAACAAAGTTTGCTTGGCTAGAATTCTTAAAACTAGCAAATGGATCTAACTACTGTGTGCCTTTAAACTAAACTAAATTGTCCAAAATTAAAGAAAATTGCACTTCTTACAAGCAAAGATTGCTTTCCTTAAGAAATATTTTCTTAGCATGAGTGTTATGCCCCCTTCATTAATTTGATTTGAAGATTTTTTTTTATGCTTCATTTAAGAAAAATTTACTTATAACAAGGAAAGAGATTGAGAATTATTACCCCTTGATTAAGCTGATTTTAAGATGTTTTATGCATCATGTAAGAAAATATGATTTATAACAAGGATAGAGACCCTGACACATATCCATGCCCATCAGCCTTCAAGAACTGTAGAAAAACAAGAGTACTGTTCTGAGAATAGTCACAATCAGAATCAGAATAAGCTTTATTATCATTGCACCAAGATACAACGAGAACATGTACGTACAGTCGTCCGAAAGATGGATGTGGTACACAAAGCTGCTGCTAATTAGCGCAGCCTTCTTATTCTTCCTTAGAATAATATTTTGCTTAGATGAGAAAAGGGAAGAAAACATGAGGAGAGACGGTATAAAAAAAGATCTCTCACACCTTGTCCTAGACATGGCACGATTTGAGGCATCAATAAAACCTACCACAGCAAAGCAGATAAATAGACGTTATACATGTACATATAGGCCGGTGAAGACATTGAATTTTAAGGGAAAGTCGTAGCATAGTCCAATTTTGCTGAGAGACCAGCTGATCAAATCCTTCGAATTAGTAACGTATGCAGAAAAAAAAAGGCTCTTTAAGGGTTCACAAGACAGAAGAGAGCAAGCAGGGAAGCGGGGGGAACGGAGCACAGGGTCCGTCTTCACCTGAGCACAGAGAGAAAAAAAAAAGATAGTGTAGGGGAAATAGCGTTTGCATAACCAAAAAAAAAAAAGATTCAATCAAAACCCAACCCATCTTTATAAATTATCTTATCTTTACTTTCACTGTTTATGTCTAGAAAAGAAGAGGAATGAGTCGTGACATGAATTTTCTCTCTCTGTAGGATGATGCAACGCTTTACAGACACCTGGCAGCGATTCTCCGTCTCTGCCTTATGAGGAGGTGTATGCTCCCAGAGGACACTGACGAGCTACAGGGGTGACAAGAACTCTTTATCCCTATTACTCTGTCCAATAAAATCCAATAATGCATGCTTTTATTATTTACATGAGCAGCAAAGTTATAAGCGAGATTATCCAGAAAAAGGCAACCTTCATTTAAAACAAATGTGTTAACACACTCAAGATTATCTCAGCTTTTAGGAGAATTGCCTTTCATTGAAAAAACTCCCTGATTTGATAATCCTAATTTCTTTTTATTTGCTCATTTGATATGCTCACAGGGCTTTTCTGGGTGGAGTTTGCATGGTTTTTCCGTGCACGTGGGGTTCCTCCGGGTACTCTGGTTTCCTCCCACAGACCAAAAACATGCATGTTAGGCTGATTGGTAACTCTAAATAGTCCCTAGGTGTGAGTGAGAGAGTGAATGGTTGTTCGTCTCTATGTTCTCAAGTTCAAGTTGAAGTTCAAGTCAAGTTTATTGTCATTTGCATCACATGTGGTACATGAGGTGGAAGGAAATTATGCACACAGCATCCCAGTTATACCCAATCTAATAAAAATATAAAGTATAAAAAGAAACAGTATATAAGGGTCTAAGATATACACTAAATCGTGTCAAATGCAAGGCCCATGGGCCAGATCTGGCCCTTTTTTTTTTTTTTTTTTACAATTTAAGGCCCACCAATATTATAATTTGAATGAAAATGTGTTTATTCTTCTCATTTTGCTTAAAATAATAATTTAATGCAGGTTTCTCATGACAGTTGGCTAATTTTGATGCCAGAAAAAAGTTGGGACTTTTCTGTATTATTTGATTTTGATGTGGAGGAACAACAAAAAACATCAAATAGGACCAATTTAACTCCTGTTTATGAACCTAGAACCAAGAAAAGATGTCGGGTATCTGACTTGGATTAATACATCGACTGAAATGGGCCCATGATTTGGAAAAAGTTTTAAACTTTGGACCATTCATGCAAACGAGTTTGACACTACTGCGCTAAATGAACACCAAACATTATGCTAAAATATCTTTTGATGAGTTTCTGTCTGGCTCTCGCTCGAGGTGGCTGCTCCTGCCTTCCCTCCCCTGTTTTCCTTCCTCCTGCTTCGCTTTCTGTGTGTCTGAAGCGCCTGGTACACATCTCCTGAACAAAAATTAAGATTATGGATCTGGTGACCTGGACTTTCAACGCTATCGACAACTTTTTTCCCAACAAAACGACAGGGTCCTGGAGAACCCACTTGTCCAGCTGAGACTCATGCTGTGGGGTATGTCATGGATCTGTGGGGAGTGTGGCAGTTAATGTGGCTCTCAGTTCTGTCTCAGGAGGATGCTGAAGACGTTTATTTATTTGGATTTATGATAGCAGGGACTCTGCTTTTTGTCATCGGCGGGGCTCTGTTTTATCGACTATTGAAGAAGACATCTGTAGCAGTTTTGACCATGACAAAGCTTCCGAGTCAGTGTGAAGGTTTGGTTCGAGCTATGAGTACTCAACATCAGCTGATTTACGAGCTAAACTGTAAGGTGGAGTCGATTTATGAGAATAGCAGGCCACCTGCGGCTTCTAGGACTCATCAGCGTGATGGGATTGACCTTGAAGGAGGCTCATAACATGGATCAGTGGAATGGGTTCCCACAAATCAGGCCATTTTGAACCAGAAAGTTCCAGAAGGACTCATAGTTGATGAAAAAAATCTGTCTGTCTGAAGTAAATCAACAATCGAAGCTTATCTGAATCTGACTCCCACATTTGGCCTCGGACACAGGCCGACTATCAAATTTATCTTGGGTCATGGGTAACCAGGGATAAAAGCTTCATCTATCACCCCCCCCCCCCCCCCCAAACTTCTGTGCAAGCTTATCAGAACTGCTGGCTGAAACAACATCATCCAAAACTGTGGCCGATCTGAAAAACGCTCATGGACAAATCTCAACACCTTGTCATCAAATGCATATGTAATCATGTTTTAATTTTAATTTAATTGCTGGTAGAGTTTTTTATGTCTCAAATCATGTCCTGATAGGACAAGATGTGAAAGATCTTTTTTTATAATACCACTATCTATCCTTATGGTTCTTCCCTTTTTCCTATCTAAAAGTATTATTCTGAATAAGAATAAGAAGGGCGCGCTTTTAGCAGCAGCTTCGTGCACTCCGCCCATCTTTCGGACGACTGTACGTACATGTTCTCATTGTATCTCGGTGCAATGATAATAAAGCTTATTTTGATTCTAAGAGATATACGATAAACACTAAAGAGACCTGGAGACCTGTCCAGGGTGTTCTCCGCCTCTCATACAGTGATAGCTGAATATAGGCACCAGTGATCCCTGCGACCCGAAAATGAAGATGATGGATGAATGGATAGATGGATGGATGAACATGCTCCCAGCCAAATTAAATATGCAGCTAACCTTCATAGTCCTAATAATTGATCAATATATTGATAATCTGGTCTTTTGTTCATTTTATTTTGTCTGATGTTTTTAATTATATGTGTTCCAGTCTTATTGTTGTTTCTACTGACTGAGTTTAGATCCATTCAAGTGTGGAACAATTCTGCCACCAACCACTAACCCAGCCTGTCTCAATCCTGCAGCCACACGGTCAACCTGCTGTCAGCGCTGCCCCTCCAGTGTCTTGACGTGCTGCTGACCGTCCCTCTGCAGCCAGACTCCAAACAAAGTCTGGGAGTCAACATGGACTGTGTGCATGTCATGCTGACGTTCATGGAGAGGCGCCTGGAGTCGGTGGGTGGGGGAGAAAATCTTTGTTTCTGTCTTGTTTTGCTCCTTTAAAAAAAAAAAAAATCCTCTTTTTCTAAGAGAGTCTGCAGCTTCAATGATAATTTTCCACGTTTCTGTTCCTATTCAGGGAGAAAAAGTCAAGGAGAAACTGACTCCAATCCTGAATTTGCTGATCGAGAGCTGCAGGGCTCACAGAGAAACACGCCTGTACATCAGGAAACATGTATTGTTACCTCAGAATGGTTTCACCTTAACATACATCTAAAATGGTTAATGAGTTTGAACAGCAGAAGACATCCAGTGGGACTGCAGTATAAACTGTGTCAGCAGGTGGCACTCATATCTTCTGAACATCTGTAGTCTGATCTTGCTTTTTAGATCTTTCATTCACGTTATGAAATAATCAGCAATATTTACTTTATTTGTGAGTTTTTTTAAATCAGCTGTGTTCAGTTTCTGGGTTTTTATTTATTTTTAATCAAAGATCACCTGAAATCAGAAAGTGTCTCCCTGATTAGATCCTTCCTCCTCTGAGAGATGTATCACAAAGGCCAGAGGATGGCACCACGGTGAGGAGCCGCCTGGTTCGCCTCATGACTCATCTGGACACAGACCTCAAACACTGCGCTGCCGACCTCCTCTTTGTCCTCTGCAAGGAAAATGGTAAAGTTCAATATCGGGATCAAAGCGGATTCAAAAGTCCATTCTGAGTTTTAGTGTACATACACCTTGGATCATCTTTACTTCTTATTTTCCCAGTGAGGCGTTTTGTCAAGTACACCGGCTACGGTAATGCAGCGGGTCTGCTGGCCACCAGGGGCCTGCTGGGAGGTCAGAGGGTCAGGAGCTCCAGCACCGACGCTCAGTACTCCAGCGACTCAGATTCAGACACAGAGGAGTACCGGCAGGTGAAAGACCGCATCAACCCTGTGACGGGGCGGGTGGAGGCCGAGCAGCCAGACCCCATGGAGGGCATGACGGAGGAGGAGAAGGAGGAGGAGGCCAAGAGGCTCATCATGCTCTTCAACAAGCTGTCCAGGTTGGGAAACGACAAACACTTATAGAAAAATAAAATAAATGTCACAAAACATGTCTGTCTTGAGGGTCGAAAGGAACATTATGGCTCAAGAAAATAAGAGTAACACAAATCTTTTAATACCTTAAAGTAGGCCTGTCACAATAACAAATTTTGCTGGGCGATTAATTGTCTCAGAAATTATTGCGATAAACGATAATATTGTTTGAAATTTGACAATAAGTAGTAATTATTGTTAAATTTAAGAAGAAATATTTATTAGTTTTGCATGTAGTATATTTTGTAACCACTGGATGGCAGTATAAGACTGTTTGAACCGAAGGATGGATAGCGAGGGAGCTAGCAGTGTGTCTCTTTAAGTAAAATGGGAGGGAGGCCCCTTGACATGACATGGGCTGTCTCTCCTTTCTGTTTGTCAGTTCTCAAAATGGCAGATGCTCTGTGTGGTTTGAGCTCTTTAGCGTAGCATTTTCCACACAAAGCTTTTAATAAAAAATCAGTAAACAAGTGCTCAGCTTCTTTTTGCAGAGAAAAACAACTTTTTACACGAAGGCACGGGTTTTAACCATGAATTTTGGAGCTTCGACAAGACAGCGGCCTGTTAGCTTAGCTTCTCAGCTTAGCTGCTTTTAACCGTCCAAAAACTTTATTTTGGACGGTTAAAACAGATTTTAAAGAGAAAGGGAGGGGTCAGTGAAGAACACCAGAGTTGAGCCTTTTGTCATCCAGTGTCTTCAGTAGAAAGAGAGAGACACGAAGAAATGATAAAGCTGATAAATGAAAATGAGTTGATCATTTTCATTTATCATGCAATTAATTGATTTATTGTTTATCGCGACAGGCCTACCTAAAGACTACCAGACTATTACTGATGCTTAAAAATGTTTATAATACAGATTACTCTTATCAGAAATGTAATTTCAACAGAGTTCCTCTAAATTAGTTTACAGTCAGAATTAAAGGTACTCATTTCAAAGTTAAGAACAAAAATTAAAATGGTTATCCTGAACTACCGTATTTTTCGGACTATAAGGCGCACTGGATTATAAGGTGCATTAAGCTAAAGAAAAGGGTCAGATAAGTTAACTCATTCACAATAAGCACATAAAATTGGTTCGAGGTCAGTAAGCACAACCAGAATTAATACATAACGTGCACCGGATTATAAGGCTCACTGTCGATTTTTGAGAAAATTAAAGGATTTTTAGTGTGCCTTATAATCCGAAAAATACGGTATATCAAATGATGCAGCTTGGAAGTGTGTACTCCAGTCATTTTCCAGATGTAAAGTTCTGAAATGTTGCTCCACGCCCCGAGTAAATACAGCACTCTCTTGACCTACTTCAGTCATGTAGGTAAATAAATGTGGAACTGGACAAGTGTTGAATCTCAGAAGACGTTCAGGTGGAAACATGAGTGAATATGCTGCTAAATGAGAAAGAACAAGTAAGAAAACAAAGAATAATAAATATTGGGGATAAAGCACGGAGGTGGAGCGCCATGAAGACTGAGCTCTGGATTCAAACACGCAGCTTTTGTAAAACTTCTAGACCTGTAAGTTCACCGTCTGACCCACTTCCACTCACACATTTTTCAATTATGGACACATTAACTTTTGATGTTTAAAAAAAGAATGTGCAGATACATTTTCATACTTAATATTTAAGTTTTTATTCCGGCTTTTTTGACTTTACAAAAGTACCTTTAACAGGGACTAGAATAAAAATGAAAAAATAAATAAATAAAAACATTGCTGCAAAAATGTCCTGGTCTACTTTTTCCCAAAAAAAACTTTATTGTATGATCAAAATCTTACTTTACAAAGAGCAAACAAATCAAAACTGAATGCTAAGCACTTAAAATGACATTTTTAATGAGACTGGAGGAGAAATTTATATTAATAAATATCAAGAGGTCAGTCTATAATTTTAATTATTTTACCCGTAGTTTGTTTTTGTTGCGTTCTTATTTTTAAGGTTAATACAATTGTAAAGAAAGTCTTAAATGGTATGAGTTTATGATTGACTATTTTATCCTGTTTCTATAAAACTTCTAAATGATTATTGAGAGCTAATTTAAAGAAAAGCTGTTATCAGTCGACGTCTTGTTTTCTGCAGAGAGAACATCATCCAGCCCATGGGGGTGGATGAAGAAGGGAAGCTCGTCCCAATGAGAGGTCTGGAGGAAAACCTCCTCGCTGAAGAAGCAAAGTCTGAGCTGGAGAACGAAGCGGAGTCAGACAAAGAAGACAAGGACTGAAAAATGTTGAACTCATTCACTTTATTGATTTTGCTTTGTAAACACTGAATTTTATGAGTTTGTTAGCGCATGAAATTCTAAAATGAAACAATATTTAGTCAAACAAACATTCTGACAGAAACTAAATGTTTTATAGAAAATGAAAACTTTAACTCTCTTATATTCAGAAAATAAAAATGTACCGCAGCTTTATCTCTGGTCTGACAGGAAATAAAATTATCGTTTTAGTTCTGGAGAAGGAATCAAATTTATCACGAGCATAATTAGAAAGTCGGAACAGCACGCAGTTTATATTTCACACTGTACTTTCAGATTATGGAATGTAAATAATCAGATGATCTGACTGTTTTTGCACTGATAAAAATCACTAAAAACAGATTTTTTTTTTGTTTGTTTTGCATTATCAAAATGTGATTTTTTTTTTTTTTTTTTAAATTTATAGTGGTGCAAATCTTTCAATTAATGTTGAAATGTTGTCATAAAATTATATAGTTCTCGTTATTCCAAAATACAAAAACATAAAACAACAATAACTGTGTTAAGAACAAAACAAAGTTCCACTTTATATTCCTAAAACCAGTTAAGCACCAGCAGTCACTGTTCAGAGATGACCTGTTTGGTGAAAACTCAAAACCTACAATGTTCATAAAACTTAGAACCACAAACAGGATAAGTGAAGACTTTCTGCAGGCCCTGACGTCAGCACAGCTCCATCATTTCTTCAAGAGACACCTGCAGTTCTACAGACTGCAGAGAGGAGGCGCCACCTGCAACAGCTATGTTCTTCAGCAACTCCATAGAAGTTAAAGACACCTGAGGGGAAAAACGAGCCAAATGATGAAGATTAAAACAAGATGGCATGAAACAGTTGAGTAATGTAACTTTTTAATCTCTATTTTTATATCTGAATCAGTATTTGTGATATATTCTAATATGTTCTAATTTGTGATACGTTCTAATATGTTCTAAGAATAGTGTGAATGTTTATGAATCATTCACACTATTGTGATCCATTTTTATTCAATACTTTTTCAGCATCTTTCTCATTCCACAATTTTTGTGCTATTTTAACAAATCATATATAAAAATGTTCAGCTCGTTTAGGAGAAGGGTGCTATGACTTTTGGTATTGCTGCAATTTTAGCTTTTTGAAATATTTAGCCTTTTCTGCCACTTTTTTCCTCATAGGAAATGAACTGAGCTCATTTTACATCCTTCAAATCTTTAGATGTGTTTACAACCTTTTACTGCTCCTTTCACATTTTGTTCTGGTTCAGCTTCTTTCAGCTTCCTTGTGCAACTTTAAAATTATTTTCAGCTGCTTCCAGCTAGTTTCAGCTGTTTTTTCAGATGTTTTGTGCTCCTTTCAGGATGTTTCTGCTAACTATAACATTTTTGTACTTCTTCAAACTTGTTTCTGCTAATTTCAGCTTATTTTGCTATTTCAGCTATTTAGCTGTTTTTATGCTAATTTTAGTTTTTTCAGCTAATTCCACATTTTTTTTGCACTCCTTTCAACTTTTTTCAGTACAATTCAACAAAAATGTGCATGCGCCACTTCTTTTGGTAACTTAAGCTTCTTTCTGCCTTTTTAGCTTCAGCTTTTGTTTTGTTGTTGCTCATTTCAGCTTTTATCAGATAATTTCCACTTTTTAGTGCGCATTTCTGCATTTTTCAGCATAACGGCAAAATTGTGCTCTCTACTTCCTTCTGCTAATTTAAGCTTTATCTACCTTTTCAGTGTTTTTTTTTTATTTTTTTTTTTAGCATTTTCTAGCTAATTTCAACTGTTTTCAGATATATTCCAAGATTTTTGTGGTTTCTGCAACTTTCAGCCTGAATAACTTTTTCTGCTAATTTCAGCTTGTTATGCTCCTTTCAGCTTATTTCTGCCGTTTTAGCTACTTAGCTGTTTTAATGCTAATTTTATCTTTTTCAACTAATTCCACATTTTTTGCACTCCTTTCAACTTTTTTCAGCACAATTCAACAAAATTGTGCGCTCTCCACTTCCTTTTAGTAACTTAAGCTACTTTCTACCTTTTCAGTTACTTATCAGCTGTTTTTGTTTTTTTTTTGGCTGTTGTTTTTGCACATTTCAGCTTTTTCCAGATAATTTCCACTTTTGAGTGCTCATTTCTGCATTTTTCAACTTAACTTGGAAAAATTGTGCTCTCTACTTCCTTCTGCTAATTTAAGCTTTTGTCTACGTTTTCAGCTAACTTTTTAGCATTTTATAGCTAATTTCAGCGGTTTTCAAATAAATTCAAGATTTCTGTGGTTTCTGCTACTTTCAGCCTAAATACTTTTTTTACTCATTTCAGCTTGTTATACTCCTTTCAACTTTTTTCAGCTAGTTTCAACTTTTTCTGCTATTTCAGCTTTTATTTAGCTTTTTTGTGCTAAAACTAGCTTTTTCAGCTAATTCCACTTTTTTTTTTTTATTTCAACTCCTTTCACTTCCTTCTGGTAGCTTAAGCTTCTTTCTGCCTTTTCAGTTACCTTTCAGCTTTTTTGTGCCAATTTCAGCTTTTTTAGCTAATTTTCAAACTTTTGTGCTTATTTCTGCATGTACTTTCTTTTTTCTTCTGCTAACTTAGGCTTGTTCTTCCGATTCAACTACTTTTCAGCATGTTTTTGGATTATTTCAGCTGTTTTATAGTAAGTTCTTCAGCAATAAGCATTCACACTGTATTTCACAGGAAATGCAATTTCTCTAGTTGTCGTTTGCACTCATTTAGACAAACCATATTTCTTGAAAACTGAATACAGTCAATAATATTTAAGAAGTTGGCAAACCTCAACTGAGATGAGTTTTTTCTCCAGCGGTCTCTTCTCTGGGTCGGGCCACTTCTCCCCGAGACAGAAGAACAGGGAGCAAGGAGGGCATTCGCCTCCATTACTGAAATCAATTATTCCTGGAGGAAAACAGACACTTTCTAACACCAACATATTACACACATGTTCTCATGCTTTCTAACATAAACAGCTGCTCCTTTTACACACCTTTGATAAAGTCCCTGAACGGGTACAGTGGTTCTGGATGCAGCTTAGGAATCTCTTGCTGCAGTCCGCTTCTGTCAAACTTGGAGAAGCTCCAGAAAGCTTTGGTTTCACCCCATCGCTGGCCATACACCACACAGCCTGAGACCCCCACTTCGAGCCCGTGTCCCAACTTGTCCAGAATCTTCTGGGTCAGCGTAGCTTGAGTTTGATCCAGAATGCCTCCAGGTTGTGGCAGGGAGACCAAGGAAAGGCTCGTCTCAGGATCCCAAACTGGACTGATGAGTTCAGGCCTGATGGGAAGGTTTGGTTTTAGTTGAATAAAATGATTTAAAATATATTTTTTAATCACTGATATCTAAGGAAAAATTTTATTTTTTTAATGCGAGTCAGATTTTTACAGTTGTGTTTACATTATATGCAGATTTTAGCAGGATGAGTTGTAAAAATGTAACTTTTTTTAAATTCACGTTTAAATATTTAGTGTATGTACCGGTAACTGTTTTTCAAAGACCACCAGAATACTTTTCATATATTCCTTGTACCACATGGGGAACATATGCTTATTTCCTTTTTTACAACTTTACAAAAGGACTTCTCTATAGCAGCTTTGCCTAATTTAAATACTTTTATACAGCCTCATGTGGTATCTTTTACATTTATCCATTATCTACAACTTGCTATTTTTTGTTATTTGTTGTTATTTCAACAGACATCCCTAATATCCTGGTTTCTTTCCTATTACAGTAAGAGCAGCAAAACTGATGGAAATCAGACTGGGTTTTTGAGATGATCTTTGATTGAGATCATACTATTACTATCGTGATACTGCATAATTGATCATTTTGTTATTTATACAGGGCAATTAAATCACTGAATTTATTGACACTGTATAAACATTATAATGTTATATGTGACATGTTTATTTAATTGGTTGCCTTTCACCAAAATATACGGTAACAAGATACAAAAGGAGGAGAAAAACACAATTAAAACAGTATTAACTGTACACAAAAAATTATAAATTAAAATGCTTTGTTATTATTTTAATTTTTTTTTTTTTATGATTTTAATCTTTGATTTTTTTTATTTCTACCATATTACATTTTGCAGTGACAGGATGCTGGAATATGTAATAAAAACTGGATGTTATCTGCCACCCCACAGTATAAAAGTCTAATAGTAACGGTCAAAAACTGATTTTTTTTTTTTATTTAATAGATTTTATAATATCTTTATATGGTACATTTTATAATGTTCTTCATGGAGTGAGAATCTGATATAAGGTTAGTTCTAGATCAGGGCAATCTCATCCCTGAGTTCTGAGCATTTCTTCCTCATCTAGTTCTTATTTTGTGCTAAAATCCAACAATGCCACTTGTAGCTTGATGGACAGTGTGCTTTACACACACATATACATTATACATATACATTATATATATATATATATATATATATATATATATATATATATATATATATATATATATATATATATATATATGTATGTATGTATAAAGAGTTAGCCTCAGACAAATAATAATGGGTTGTTTAGATGTTGAACAGCTGTTAGGCATGGTTCTTTAATAAATAATTTATTTTGATGTTACCTGTAGACCAGGCGGAAACCAGCTTCGTTCTCAACCTGCTGCTCAGAGACCTTTACCCCTCTGTAGTACACCGTTATCCTGAAATAAGTCTCTGAGGATTCAGAAACATGAAAATATATATGTATTTTACAACAAGCCTCACAGCCATCTTTAATTTTACCACAGTTGGGATGGAAATCATGGTTCGTGCCGTTCATACGACACATATTAGATTTTTAAAACAACGTTTGAATAGGTTGTCTTTTCAGTGTATGTGTGTGTATGTGTGTGTATGTGTGTGTAAGCCCCCCTAACTTACTGAAACTATCTCCATCCCTGGTCTTGTTCACGGTTTGGAGGAACTGTTCTGCGTACTGCCCGTCATCATAGCCCCCTCCCACAGCTCCCCCCATCGGACACGCTGGTTGCTCAGGCAACCCAGTTTCTCCGGCTGCACGCTCAAACATTACTGGATCCTGCTGTTGCCCAGGCAACGGGTGTCCACCAATCACAATCTGATCCTGCAGCTGTTGCTGCTCAGATGGAAACTCGAAGTCTGCTGTGCCCTCTGTGGAAAAGTTGGGAGAAGATTTAAAAAACTGGTTGTGGGAAAAGTCCCTCAAATTATTGTTTTATTTTCTTCTGGTGTGGCAGAAGTGAGGAAGAGGAGCAGGGATGATCAAACTACCTGCTGCAGGGCTGATGTTCAGGGTTTTTAAACACTCCTGGAGAATATCACGGCCGTCTGGGCATTCTGCTGGGAAACGAACGGTTATTACTTAATCAACTACACGTTCAAATAATTCAAGGGTTCATACCTTCTAATACAATATATTTAAACTATAATAGCAGGATAAAAGCCTAAATACCTCGAATCACAACGTCTTGTGGAATGAACAGACCATCATCAAGGAATGGCTCAACGTGAGTCTGAAAATCAGACACGGGTCTAAATAAATTCATGCCAATTAAACAATATTAACATTTAAAGCCCACGTGTGCAGTCACTTACGTTTTGTGTGTTAAAGCCATCAAACAAAATTGCATCATTCTGCTCCTGGGATCCAGCAGAAGAGTTAGCTTTAGGAGGAAAAAGCTAAATTGATCATTACAGTTATGAACGCAACAAATACATTTTAAAACAATTTGCACTTATCTGATCTGCATGTCGATCCAAACACTTAACACTATGCTTTCAGTAATTGTGGGGTATCCTCACCCTCTGATCCTGCCTCCTCCGGCCAGCGAAAGACTTTATGAGGGTTGGCAGTATCGTTCTTGGAATCTGACACCAGTTTGAAGCCTTTAACTCGGAGGGCGCTGCGGAAGTTTCTCTTCCAGATTGAGGCATCTCCCTGAGCCTGGTTGTTGCCACTCACTTGAGCCCAGGCCTACAGGGACACGAGAACATAACGATGTCATTCGAGCACCTTTTGCTTTGCTCCTGGATTTATTTGAAGAGGATCTCAGTGATGCTAACCTTAAAGATGAGAACATCGGTGTCTGAGGAGTCCTGTCTCAGAGCATGTTTCCACGGGATGGAGAACTGCGTGTGCTGCGGGTTTGTCCACTGGACACCTGGATACCTGCCGCTGTCAATCTGATCCCGAAGCCACGGGATCAGAAGTGGTTTTGGATGAGCCATATTCTGGAGGAGCAAAAATACTAATAATCATTAACCTGTTTGTTGTTGTTGTTTTTCACATTTAATCAGTGCAGTACTAAAATGTCAGCTAGCATCAGTTTGTTATTCCAAAATTAGAGAATATGTATTGCTCGAGATACTTTACAACTTAATATATAAAAAATGAAAAAGTAAACATGAACATAAAGGTTGTCATGAAATTTGACACATTGCTAAAAATAAATAGTTGAAAATATTTTCTAGTGAATTGGGCCATGTAGCTGTTTTCCCCACTTCCTCTAAAAACACAGATATTTAAGGGGAGTAAAAAAAAAAAAAAAAAAAAAGGTAAAATTCAGTGGCAGAGTTTCTAAAAAAAAAGTAATTAAAAGCAGGCTTTGTGTTTCACTTAGGGACTGTCAATAAATTACCATAATACCTTTCATGTCATGTTTCTCACTAACACATAGACTGGACAGACGAGACACATTTGTATCTGATTTTATTGCATTTTCTACTTTTGTTGATTTTTTAATTCCAAATTGATTAATTTTATTTGATAGCTTTTAAGTCATGTGACCCATTGAATCAAAATGTTAAATTATTCTAATAGATTTGGCAGACGAGACACTCATTTTAATTAGATTTATTTATTTTAATTAAGGAATTAGTTTCAATAGCTTTTAGGTCATGTGACCCACTGACATAAAATTACTGATAAAATATTCTCTTACTCTGAATAGATGAGCGACATTCATTTTTATTTGAATTTAGAACAATTTGTCATTTTTAATAACATTTTAATTCAAAATTGATTCATGTTTTTCAATAGCTTTAACTTCATGTAACCTTGTGACACAGAATAATGTTAAATAATTTTTCTAGACTGCACTCAATTTTACGCATTTTTTAATTCAAAATTAATGATTTACCTTAAATAGCTTGCACATAATGTGGCCTACTGATGAAATATTAATATTTTGGTGTATAATTAATCTGGAGAAGTAAGACATGCTCATTTATCTGTACATATTTTAAATCATTTTTTATATGGAATTATTATTTTTCGTCTACAGCTTCTATATAACAAAGCCTAGTGATACAAAATTCATATTCCATAATGTAACTTGATTAGACATGACACTCGTTTTATATTACATTAATGCATTCATAATTTTAATCAATTCTTGTGACAAAATTATGATTTTGGAATAGCTTCGACGTAAAAAAATTATTTAAAAATTTTACGTGGACGACTATTTCAAAAACATTGAGCGTGTCTTACTTGTCTAATCTAGGTACAAAACCACTGGGCCACATAACATGGAAGGTAAAGAAGAAAAATAATGGAATGGTCATAAAAATACTGAATGAAAACAAAGAATGCATTAACATGAAAGAAAAATAAGTGTCTTACTTGTCTAGTCAAGACTCATATTTCACTTTGATTTTGCTTCTCTTGGTTGAGTTACATGGAAGATATTAAAAAACTCCTTCATTTAATCAAAAATCCGTTATTAGAATTGAGTGTGTCTTACTTGTCTAGGCTAGTTACATAAACTACCATGTGCCGGGGCTTCTCCGGGCCTGTGGTGTGGGGCTGCTGGGGTGCCTGGTCCTTGGTGCGCTGGGCCGGCCTTCCTCAGCTGCTGCTCCGGTCCCCGGTCTGGGACCGGCTTGCGGTCGCTGTCGGGTGGGTGGGGCGCATGGATGGCCCGACAGAGGCTCTGTCGGGCCGTCTGTGTGTGCCTGTTTACGTCTCAGGTTGGGTTTTGGGTGGTCCCCTCTCTTGGATCATTTTGTGCACCCCATTTAATGTGGGGTCAACTTCCCCCTGTCGCACTCCCCTCTGGTGGCGGGCCCCCCTGCCGCCGATGCGTTGGTGGCTCTCAGCATCTGGGGCTGGGTGCTTGGATGTGTGCCGGCCTGCCCTGGTGGCTGCTTGCAGGTGCCTGGGTGCCCTGGCTCTGTCGGGCCTCTGTTGGGGGGGTGGGATGACCTTGGGACTCGGTGTCCATGACCGGATCTGCTCTGGAGTAGCGGGTTACCAGCGAGGCCTGTGGGCTCGTCGCTGCAGCCTCCTGGGGTTTCTGCATTGTGGTTGCTGAGGGTTGCCTGGGGATTCCCTCTGCTTCTCTCTCTCTTGAGGGGGGCGGGTGTCCCTGTTGGGGGACTCCCGGGGCTCTGGGCTTGGGGGCCGCTGTGTGTCTGTGGCTCCGGTCTTCCCTGTGTTACCATCATGTCCTGTGGGAATGGGTCTGTGGGTCCCCACATCCACTATTGAGCATTTTTATGGAGAAACCTTATAGTGACAAGCATGCTCACACAGGTGTTTAGATTCAGGTGTTTATCAGATACACACTCAGTTGGGTTGTGGTGGCCACTAAATATATCTTGTACTACCATGTACTGTATAAAATACTTTCTAATGATATTATAAGTATCATTATATAAGTTGTTTGTTGTTGTGGTTTCTCAGTTTTGTCTTTTTTTTCTATCCGCAGGTCAAGAGGCAGACTTCAATGATGTTGATTTGTGTTCTCTTTATCCATCTCTCTCCTCTATTCATATCTTCTTCTTTACTTTTTAACCCTTCTCTCACTTTTCTGATTTTTCTTCTTTGTTTTTCATCCCCATGTCCATTACATCTGAAACAAACCCAAAGCATAATCTAATAAAGTTTTATTTATATATCAAGCGGAGCATTAAGGCCAGCCATAATGCTCCGCTTGTGAAAGTAAATCTGTTGGGCATCACTTTGACACTCAGACAATAATTCTGAGTTTCACAATGTCTATCAGGACATGGGGGAAAAATGCATAATTTACCATTGATTTTTGGATCAGTACACCACATTACATGCAAGCGATTGACAAACATCACTTGTTAATATAAAAAAAAAAGTCTTGAATTAAAAATGAGGGTGTTTCATCTTTCCAGCTAGTAAAATAAATTTACATTAATCGCTGGGTCACATGACATAAAATCTATTGTCAAAATAAGTTAAAACAAAAAAAGTAAAAAGGTTTTAAAATGTAAAATGCCTTAAAATCAGATAATAAATAAACAGCGTGTCATCTGTCAAATCTGTTATAATAATTTAATATTATTTTTTGTGTCAGTGGGTCATATGACCTGATGGCTATTGAATTTTTTATTCAAGGTTTTCTTTATTGTCATTCGCATCACATGTGGTACATGAGGTGGAACAAAATTGTGCACTCAAGGTCCCAGTTACACCCAAAAATA